CAAGCGACAAAGAACGTGATTTCTTTTGTTGGATATAGTGCAATGCGACTTTAGAAATTACATAAAATTTTTTATATTGTTAAATGCTTATATAAATAATAGCTACTATTAATATGAAAGAATCCTGTAAAATAATTATAGTACTTATGTAATTAAATGCTAATATACCTTGAATAAAAAAATTAATTTTACAACATTAACAATTCACACATATTTGAATATCTTTTGTTCAAACATCATTTCATATGCATAATTTTAATATTAATTTTTTTATTTTTTAATATAAAAACTTATTCTTTAGATTAAAAACTTAAATTATTTAATTTAGTTTTTAAAAATTTTGTGTAATTCATTGTGATTAATATGGTAATGTGGTTAGTTACAAGGCAGCTTATTAAACTCATACAAAAAAAAATTAAATCATACATTTTTTGTTTGATGACAAACAATTTTTTTTTACTTCCTGTTAAAATATTCACAGTATGCAGAATTGCTTTGTTTAGCGTTGTTTTTTATAATGCTTAAAATTTAACTAAAGTTGAAACTGTTTAAAAAACACTTTATTTTTTTACACTGTACCTACTTATATTTTGCTTCTATGAATTTAAAAAAAAGCAAGGAGTTTAAATAAAACAAAAACCCGGTTTTTATCGTTATTTAAAAAAGGAATTGGTACAGTTGCATAACTCAATTGTAAGGTACCACACAATATTCTTCCAACTAAAAGTAAGGAGATGAATAAATCAATAATTAAGAGTTTGATAAAGTTTCAGTAAAACAGTGGATTTGTAGATTTATATAACGGGGCAACAGTGCACCGCGACCACGTATAAGGATCTATTGTGCGCCCCCATCGGAGTGCGGGGCATGCCCTTAGTTCCCAACGAATAGTATGTGGTCCGATTCCACAGAAGAGCTTCGGCCAAAGAAGAGGTGTGTTTGCACCCTTCTTTGCAAGCGCATCAGTGGCCTCAATTCCTTCCACGCCCACATAGCCCGGCACCCAACACAGTGTGACCCGGTTGCATCTGCCCAACTCATTGAGCTTCTCAAGACAGCCCCATACTGCCACGGAGGATACTGAAAACGAGTTCAGCGCTCCGATCGCAGCCCGGTTATCCGACACAATCATTATCTCCTGTCCTCGATACCCCCTTTTCAGACTGAACCGCACGCACATTTTAATGGCGTGCAACTCAGCCCGAAACACACTCGGAAAAGTTCCCATGGGTTCGGAGAATTTGGTTCTTGGTCCAAATACCCCCGCACACGTCCCAATACAGTGAATAATTCAAGGAATAGTTTTTTTTCGCTATTTGCTTTTCTCCAGCTTTGTGACTTAATTCAGAAACGTTGTATTAATTCTGTGGTTAAGATTTTAAAATTGTAAAGTTTTTACAATTTATTTTGATTGCTTTGTTCTTCTTCAAACGCTTCAAATAATAAGGCTAATGAAATAGTAGAATTTCTAAGTGCAGTTATGATGCGCTACGAAATGTAATACTTCATTAAAAAAGCCAAGGACAATTTTTTGCAAAAAATTCTAAATATTTCATCAAATTGTTATTTAAAGGACTTCAATTCAAATGAAAGGGCTGAAAATATCGGACAAAATTAAAGCATACTTTTGAATATAAACCTTAAAGATGTAAAGATTCAAGTTCCACAGTCCAAGAAGAACCGATTCACTTTCTATTCTATTTAAACAACGTACCCAAGTCAGAAACCTGAAAACAATTTTGTAACACCATAATTATGCCTTATTTATGCGAATTATAAGAAGTGCATAAAATATGAATAAAAAATTCAAAAAAAATTTTTTCTTTAATTTTCATTTAAAAAATATTAAAAAGTCTTCTTGTTTCTTTACATTAGTAACTTGCTTTGTAATTAACTTTGGAACCATAAAACTTTATACTTAAAACAAAAAACAAATTTTTTTTTTTATTATTATTATAATAAGGAAACAACTTTAATAATTTGAACAAACTCTGTGAAATTTTCTTTGTTAAAAAATTATTAATACAAGCAAAACTAAGAAAAAAAAACAGGGACAAAACAAATCCTTTTTGTGCACAGTGTTCTTGTAAGAAATTCAACTTACTAACTCTAAGTGGAGATACTTCTTTTCTCTTCTTCGTTTAAGTACTAGTTTGTTAAGTACTCGTACAAACAAACAAACATTATAAGCAGAGAACATTTTTTAACTGTTATGCGAATAACAACAGACACAACAAAAAAACAAATTAAATCAGTAAACTTCAAAACACACAAAAAATCAAAGTACAATTTTTAAAATTTCCATACTCTATTTTTAACCCATGATTTCATATTAGCGAAAATGACAATTAACTTTTTCCTGGCAAATGTTTTACAGTAAAAATGCTCAAGAAATTTTATGAAAACTAAGCTTTTCAAAATCTGTTGCATTTAAACCCATTTACCGTCATTGTTTTATTAAATGTGTCCATTCGGAATACAACAAATATTAAAATTTAGAGACAGAAAGAGCTGGGAGATAGAAACTATTTTTATATTTTAGAAAAAAAAAAGATCAGTTTTCTTTCCGCTCTTAATGGTAGCTCATGCCCATATTTTCAATCAATTGTATTCATATTTTCAATCAATTGTACAAAACGAGAAAAAATAGAGTTGACCGTGTCGACTCTGTGATACCCGCACGAATTTCTTATCCTATATGCGAGTACATATGCTGCTGTCAAATAAAGTCAAAGTCTGTCCCATAGTCAGCTAAATTACCGTATTACTATATTAATTTTTGCAAAATTTCAGCACTGTGTTTTCAATATTTTCTAAGATAATGCCCAATAACTTTTGAAGTTGTATGGCAGTTACCAGAAGAAGGCAAGCAATTTCAACGATTTTTATCAAACACTATGGACCTAATAATATATTTGCTTGTGCAAAATTTCAATATTATATATTCTATGATTCCTTAGATATAGCCAAATAAATTTTGAAGTTGTATGGCAGCTACCGAAACCATAACCTCAATTAGTTTTTAAACTTAGCTCAATTAGTTTTTGAATTATAGTTAAAATGGATGTAAGCTAAATCGACTCAGAATTCGACGCTGATCTTAAACATATAGTTGAGTCTATAATATCTCAAACCATTATTTCTTAGCGTTGCAAACGGTAAAGCAAATTTAGTATACTCTTCGAACATACATTCGTACGGGTATAATTAGTATAGCATATTTTTATTGCTACTTGGATTGAGTTAACAGTAATTTATTTTTATTAATATTATAATTCTCTACTGTGCGGTATCTCCGAATACATTTCACGAAATCTGACAATATTTCTATTGTATTTTTAAAATATTGAAATCTATGGTTGTCAATCATTAATAATTAAATTTTGAAAATTTACTTCCTTTAATCATTATTAATAATTTACCTATCCAATACCAACAAAAATTGATAAAATTGTAAAATTGTAATTTTATAAATTAGCAAATCATCGTAACGAAGATCGGATATTACTAAAATGTATAAAAAGATTTGTAAAAAGACATTTTGTTTAGGTTTTACATGTAAATGAAATTTTATTCAATATTCTTTTGAAAACCTTTAAAAGTTTTCCTTTATCGAAAACATTTTCTTTAAAAATAACATTGTTTTCCTCCTTTACGATAAGAAATTAATTGGAACAAAAGATTTTTTTAATTGTTTCAATGAAACACAACAATGTTTTTTTTTAGTCTTAATTAAGCTTACAAATACAAGTATATTTTCATTGTTCACTTGTTTTATTATACAGCCACCCGATACCCAATTAGGATTCAATTAATAATCATTATTATTATACAATAGAATTTTATACAAAAGAATTAATGATATCCAATTTTAAATATTATACAAAAATATTACGATATAATAAAATAAAATTTTAAAACACGCAAAATTAGATCAACCCTAAAATTTTCTTCATTAATAACAAATTTCCAGGATGAACCACGAAACTTCTAAAGACGAATAATACTTTTTATAGAATTAAATATGAAGTAGTATAAGAGAAAGTTCTAAGAAATTATATAACGGCAATATGTCATATAATTTAAGATATTTGGTTAATTCAAAATCATTTCTTAATTTTAATAATTTTTGAAATAATTTAAATCTATATCGATATTATGTCCAGCAATTTTTAAACCAACTAATAACATAGCGTAAACTAAGCATTACTCGATTCTATTCCGTGTATATTTTCAGTAAATCCATTTTAAATTTCTGATTCTTCAAGTTCCCAAGGGATTCCGGAGACATGTTTCCAATTATTAACAATTCCAGCAAGATATTTTTGGAATTTTTGAAATTTAAGTTCAAATTTTATAAGATTTTGGACCAATTTTTACAATAAAAGTTGATTAATATCACAGATTATTCACGTAAAATGGTAGTTGTACTCCAGCATATGACCAGCACCCATCTCTTACGTGCTTTTCACAATCACTAATTAAAATGACTACAAATATTTACCAACAAAAAAATCTAAAAATCCTAATTCAGCAATTGCTATTATATAGTTACTAAGAATTAGTTAGGAGTTCAAATAAAGAATAACATGTAAAATATTTTGGTGAGCTTCACTCTCATTTCACCAGAATCAAAAATTTCATTTTAATCAGAAAATATTTAGAATTTAAGTAAACATCAAGTGATTCAAATTTGAATAACATTCATTATCCTTAACTCTTATATGTATATATTTATTATTATACAAACATAGTATAACAATTTATTAGAATATCGGTTAAATTTTTAATGAATGAATTTATTTTCTTATCTGCTTTTATATAATTTAACTCCCATTATAAGGGATAAATCTTAAAAGGAAAATCAAAATTACACTCCACGTTATTGAAGGTGATTAATTAAATTCTTTATAAATCGGAAAAAGAAGAAGAAAACAAAGGAAAAAAAAAATACTAACCATAAAAATTTGAAAAGGAAATCAAAATGTTTTTAAACTCACCTCATTATGTAAACTGAAATTATTTTCTTTAATCACTTCCTCATCTTGTCTTGCAACTTCCTTCAATTCCTCCTCTTCATCATTTTGTATTAAGATGTTTTCTTTATCATTTTCATTTTGATTATTATTATTTTTATTTTCATCAATCTTATTGCTATGAGATTTCTTTGTATTTAAACTTTTTAAGATTTCATCAGTATCAAGAGAATCTTGACTTTCATTTTTGCTTAAACATGAAATTTTTTTTGCACTAAATAATATACCATTACCATTTGTATTATGATTTCCATTTCTATTGCCTATACTATTCGTACTGTTATTAATACTATTATAATAGTAATTACTGCAATTTTTAGTGTTACATTTATTTTGATTTTTACTATTTTCTTTGGTTAATGGCAATTTTTTTAATTTCTTATTGAAGTAATTATTATTGCAGAATGAAATTCCTGCAATTGCCTTTGTATCATGATTTTCATTATCATGTTGATTATTGTCGTCATCATTATTGTCATCATGGCTATTGTTACTATTGCAACTATTTAAAATTTCAATTGTATTATTGTTGTTATTGTTATTATTGTTACCGTTACTATGTATTTTAAGTGTAGTGTTGTCGTTGTTGTTGATTTGCTCTTTTTCTGATAACTTTTGATTATCAAAGTTTTTTATTTTATCAAAATCTGGTTTTATTATTGTTGATTGTTGTAAAATACTGGAATCGTTGTCAACATGAATGTTCTCTTTATTTTGAAAATCAATAATATTATCCTTACTATAACAATTTATTTCGGTTGCTGTTGGTTCTATTGTAGGATTTATACAACTATTTGTAATAGTAAATTTGGAAATTTGTGATGTTAGATTTTTTACAATATTACGATTTGTTACAACAACAATTTCAGATTTTTCATTTTTAGTTGAAAATTTTCTTTTTTTACTTTTATTACCATCATTTTTGCTATTTTTATCATTATTATTTTGATATTGTTTTTGTTGCTCTTTTTGACATTTTGTCTTTTTATTTTTATAATCTTCGATTACTATGGTATTGTTAGAAAGATTTTTATCATTTTTACTATATTTTTTATATTTTCTTGTTGTTTGTACTGTTGTTGCTGTTGTTGTTGCTGGATTTACTGTTAAGATATCTGTTTCCGTTGTTGGTATTGGAATATATTCACTATTAATGTAGATACTGTTATCAGAATTGGTATTTTCGTTTTTTATTGTTATAGAATCAGTATAATTTTCAATAAAAATTTTATTATTTGATGTCAGATATTCTGCTGATGCTATTGTTATAGCTGACGGATGTTTAGAAACGCACTTTCCCATAGAATTTGATTTTCAATTGAAATTATTTGTGATGGTAACAATAACATAAGCTTATATTTTTTATTTGTTAATTATTTTTTTGTTTGGGTTAAAACATGGAGGAGGAATATATTTTTCCTCATAACAAAATTTTATGTGGATTGTTTTTTTGTAATAACCGGCACTGTTTGAAATATTCATGCACTACACATCATTCCTGAAAATAATAAAAAAAAAATTAATAATTCTGGAATTAAAATCTTATGAATTTTATAAATATTTTATTTACAATAATTATTTCGTAAATTCATTGAAAGCTCTACCATGTTATACTCCGGAATTTTTTTTTGGTAGTCAACAACAAAATAATCATACATGTAATTTTTTAATTCGGTTGCCAAAGTAAGGAAATCACGACACCGGTTACCAAAACAAAAAAAGTTTTAGGAATATTTTCATTCATGTTTAAAATAAAAACGAATAAACAACCTATACTCAGAAAAAAAATATTTGAAAATAACATATTCCAGCCTTTTATACGGAAAACAATGGTTAAAATTTTAAATATTAAAACAATGACAATGTCAGTTTTCCATAATTTATGGTGTATGTATCCGAGTTAGAATGCGTTAAAATACATTACCTAAACCGAAGTACATACATATACACATAAAAAAGTGATTTTATACTATAAGTTGTAATATAGAGATGTGTTTGACTCGAATATCAAACAAGATTGTCATTTTCCCCTCTCGAAGAAATACTTCAGCTGGAGTCTAGATTCTCCAATACAATAAAACAATAGGACTAGGGTGATCAAAATAAACAAGCAGTCTAAAACTAAACGGCCAAATGTAGCTCTTTAATCAAGACGGGTGGCAAGAAGGTATAGAAAATAGGATCAAGGTGGCTAGGGCAGCATTTAACGTGTTTTATGCAACCGATGTGGAAGAACAAGATATCCTGAGACATCAACCTTTAAATATTTTAGTCCTGTATAAAAAATAAGTTCTAATAAAGACAAAAAGCACCAGACCAGATGTTGCTAACCAAATGTCGTACAAATTATAATCCTGAAAAAAATAAACAATATGGAGCTCTGGATAACAGACAAGAAACTTGTTGATAAACAGATCTGAAGGAGAAAGTGGAAGTTGAATGGTCAATTGATTAAGAGTGCTTCGCAATATTCTAGCGAACGGGGTGTTCACGGGTAATACTTGGCGGGCATTAAGCAAATAACCGAAAACAGAAGAAGATGGAGATAAAGATTAAAGAAAATAAAAATAAATTATATGTGTATGGTGAATAAATGCGCATGATATTCAAATTTTCATATTCCATATTGATGAAAAGAATAAAGCCAGAATTAAGCTGAGTTTTTAAAATAATCTTGAATTTATCACTTTTGGTTTATGGTTTATAAAACTTAAGATTTTCGATGTATTATACAATGTAATGATAACATTAAACTAAACTCAAGGATCTATCATATCTCATGAGTAGCTCATCATTTTAATTTGTCACATTTCTCATTTCCATTAATATATTCAAATTATTATACCCTTTTTCCTATATTTTAATTTATAAAATAACTTAATGAATTAATGGTAATAATTATTATTCTCAATAGATGTCTACCAAAATAGTAACATATATTAATTAAAATTATTAAAATAAATTATATTTTATAGAATGAAAATTGAAATCTCACATACACAAATAGTTCTATAAATATCAAAAGACAAGCCCATTAATTGACGCTTTTGATAGTTTTAATTAAATGATGCGTGGGCTTTAGTATGCCAGCAATAATATTCAAACATGAAAATTATCATTATAAATTATAATAATATTATAATAATAATATTATTATTTAATTAAAATTTTAAAAATGAGTTTTTTACACATTTTGAATGAATGAAAATATTCTAGATTTTCTATTTAAAGACTTAAAAGAAGAAGTGATTATCAAATAATTTCCACTTGTGGAATTTAATTCAATTCATCGAGTAAATTTTTAGTGTATATAATTTCACCAGTTCATTTGTTGAACTGAGAAATAAGGGTTTGAATGCAATATGTAAAAATTGATTTAGCTACCGTCTGTAGTTATTCACCTTTCAATTAAAATTCTAAAATTAATTCAGCTAATTTGAATAAATTTTCACAAAATATTTATGGTATTCATGAATTCGACGTGATCGAAATAAGATGAGGTTCGAGTAGTTAGAATAAAAGTAATTTGGATTTAAGTATCTAACAAAATTATTAATCTTATTAATAAAGGCTGATTTCTTTTAAATATGTCTTCTAATTACCAATATAATGATACCTTAAATGATTATCTAACAAAACTTAAGTCAATTTTAACCAACTTTACAGCAAACAAAAACAACTTTCATCCATCCAGGTCTGTTGTGGTGCCGCCGGATCTTTCCCCTCTCCTTATCTTTCTTCAAGTTATGTAAGTTCGACATTATGTTCAAGTAATTTATTAAAACTCCATTTTGTTTTTATATTCTTCTCTTAATAATTAATAATATAGAAATCAAATTTTAATTATTTCAAATCTTAATTTCATATAATTTTCTATTGCGTAATGCAATATTGGAACAATAATAAAATATTCACATTATTTTATATACAAAATATCGTAATTAAAATTTTAATAGAAAAATAATTGTAAATACCTACATATATAGTTATATAAGATTTTAATAAATAAGTTTTAAACAATTGAAAGAAAATAAATTGATTTTATTAATAAAACGCTTAAAGTTATAATTTTCAATATAATTTTGGTACTTTTCTCAAACTCTTTTAACTTTATTTTTTGAATACTATAAACCGGAATATAATGGGAACACATATTTAAATTTGAAGTGTTATAACAAATTTGTTATTATTAAAGAATAACAAAAAAAGAAACAAATAAAGTTATGAAACTTTTACAAAATTAAAATATCCTTGAAGAAATAAAAGGATTTTGAAGTAAATTACGTACCTACATACTTATTGTTATATTCAAAAAGTTTTATAAAATAATATTATTACAACTTATATGTTACATAAATTTATGTAATTATATTAATTGTATGTAAAGGAATTGGAATACAAAATTTTATAAAAATAATATTTTTCATCTTAAAAATTATTTTATTTACCCAAATTCCACTTTAAAATCGAATTGCTATTACAATATATTTATTTGGTAAAATAAAATTTACAATAAAATAAAATTTTAATAAGTTTTCAATATTATATTTTAGCATAGCTAGTAGGTTTACAACTCTTTCTATGTTTTTTTTTTGTTTTCTATATTATAAAATTTTAAAATGAAATAAAACAAAAGGACACAATATTATTATTATTATAAGGATACGGAAGTTTAATATTTTCTATATATAGAACCCATTTATTTCTATATATTACAATGAACGTATATTATAATAATAAAATGTATAGAGGACGAATAAATCATACTAAAATCTGCATAAAAATATAAAAGAGCATTAAATTTAACAATAACAAATTATACACTATTTCTATTGTTTTTCATCGTTTCAGGGGCATGTAAACAATATTTGAAGAGTATTACAAATTATTTGTTCGATTCATTGTACGTAATATTTAGAAATAATTTGGCTACTCTATAAACGGGAGGTTGTTCTATGTCGCACGGTTCTCAAATTATAAATAGAAAACAATTTGGTATAAAATAACATTTGCAGTGCTCTAATTTTCTCAGTAACTCCTAAACCATATCAGGAAGCATAATTAGTCGTATACCAAATTGAAGCTTAGTTTATAAGGTAACCAATTGTGCTAAAATTGAGGAAAGCTCCAATGTTACATTACCTAGTAAATTAACGTTTTTTAAAAAATGAGAAGTTAAAATTTCAAATTTTTCGAACTTTAAAGTCATGTGATTCCGAAATTTAAATAGATTTTAACTAATGCAGATATTCATGAGAAAGCCCTTACTCTAGGGCTCCCAAATTATATTCACTAAGGTGTCTGTCTTATACAAACACGAAGTTACACTTAAAATTTCGAAAAATAAAAAAAAATTAGTCGAAATTAATTTTAAAACCCCGTAAATCTGAACCTGTTAAGCTGTGAACATCGCGATATACAAAAGTTTTGTCTACTCATGAGGACCTATACGATGGTATACAGTCGTGCAGTTTGATAAGAGATACCTTGTACAGTTTTTCATACAAGGGGCAAGGATTTTCCAAATTTAGCCCACACACTTGTAACGATTGTCCTTATAATTTATTGGTGGTTATTATAAAACGATGTAACGTGTTTCGTGGGATTATTGTAAGCAATTTCTCAAAGTTTCATAATAATCGGATTAATAGTGCAGCAGTATATTAAGGACAAACACGCGAACTCATACTTTTTTTAACTATACATAGCTTACATATTTAAATGGCTTGTAGAATGTAGACTACCACTTTTTTTCTCATCTAATGAATAAAAAACACTATACTATAAACTACCAGTTTTCGGAGCTCTTAAGAAGATTTTTGATATTATACAATTGTAAAATCTCCTGTAGATGTTATCTCCACACTTATACATAATTCGCTTATTCTTAAATCCTATAGTCAGGCAAACTAACTCTATTTATATTCGTTTTTATTTTCATTACTTATAGTTCATTCATACTGCTTTAATCGAAAGTATTTTATCTATATAAAATCATTATTTATATTATATGTATAATATGCACATAAATACATTTATACATATTTTATAATAATAATAACAATAATATTAAATTCTTCAAGGATACTAAAGAGAAAAAAAAATTCACTTTTATAGGAAATAAGGATATAAAATTATGAATGTACGCAATTTAGGTAATTTTACACATTTTCATTTTTTTCTTATTCTTTTTTATATTTTTTTTTTTTGTTTAAATTCCTAAAAGACCAATTACAATAATTGACTAAAATTCATATTTAGAAGTTATAAAAGCTTATATACTACTTTATACTAATTGAAGTATAAGATTGCTAATAATTTATAATAGAAAATGATACACAATATACGCATACATACATAAAAATTACATGCGTGAATATTGTGTTTATTTGATTGTATATATTTTCAATTACAGTACTATACAAAAAAATTTTTGATATTGTTTAAGATTTCTGTATCGGTATAATTTCTGTATAATATATGGTGCTAATTTAGTAG